GTTGCCGCCGCCTGGTGGCGGCAGCGTGAGCGTCGCTGGACACGCCGGCGGGGACGTCCCACGCTGCGCCCTCGTGCGGCACGCGGCGCAGTCCTGGACCACAGCGTTGTCGACGTGGTGGAGGCGGTCTGGGCTTGGCTCGCCCCCGACGACGCACCGCCAGGCCCAGCTGTGATCTGGGCCGTTGTCGTAGCTATCCAGGAATACCCAGAGCACCTTCCCATCGAGGCAGGAGATGTTGACCACGTCCTGCTGGTCGACTTTCGCCTCGCCGGCCTTCATCATCCACGAACGCCAGGCCTCCGGCACCATGTGGTCGAGCCCAGTGCGGGTCGTGTTCGTGAGTCGCCGAGCGCGTTCCGCTACACGCAAAGTGCCTACTCGCAAACGTCCCCAAAACCATACGTCTGTTCTTGTGTAATATATCGTACGTTCCCTACGGCGGATCCAGGCCATTTGCGAGTAGCTACTTTGCGAGTAGTGGAACGCGCTTGTCTAGTGAGGGAGAAGGTCAAGTCGCCGATCTCCACCTCGAATGGGTCATGGCCGTGCGCCAGCCCATGGAGTCCAAGAGCTCGCGGGTCCGCAGCAGCCACCCAGCAGACGGGCGAGCTGCTGGCTGGGCCGGCCTCCGCCGCTGGCGGACGAAGGCCTCCAGGGGGCCGCCGAGGGCGCGCTTGAGAATACCCACGGCCGCGTGCAACACCACGCCCATGGGTTCGCCCATGGGTTCGATCTTTCTTTGGGAGATAGGTTCCAAGCGGCCCCTCGGTGTCTCCAGGAGGCGTACCGGCGCCGCCCCGCGAGGGCTGTCTCCAGGGCCGCCCGCAGGGCCTGGAGGGTCTTGTCGGACAGGACACACCACGGCGCATCCCAGCGCAAGATGCCGACGTTGGCCAGGACGACTTGCCGCACCCAACGCCGTGGCACGCGAGCCGCCTGGCCGACTTTCTTGATCCGCGTGAGCCGCGAGAGCAGCTCCTGGACCCCGCGCAGGGCCCGCGGGGCAGCCTCTGGAGGGTTTGCCCCGGAGAGGTCCAGGCGGAAGCCGAGGACGTCCACGTAGCGCTGGTAGTTGCCCCAGACATTGGCGGCGGCCACTGCCAACTTACCAGGGTCCTCCTCCTGACCGCTGAGCCAGTCGAGGTAGGCGAGCGTGTCGGCGGCCGACTCCACCTCCTGCGGGTTGTCGGCAATCATGGTCTTGTCGTCCACGTACGTGGTGAACATGATGTCGTGGTCCGCGGCGTGTCGCCTGGCGTGCGCCCCGGCAAGGATTGCAGCCCCCAGCGGCGAACCTGGGTCACCCTGCGCAAGGCCACGCTCCGGGACCATGGAGTCGCTGGCGTATCCCGCCACCTTGTCGACGATGTCGCGGGCACCACTGTCCGAGAACAAGAACACGCGTCATTGTCATGCATGCCGAAGAGGCCAGCCACTTGCACGACGAGAGGCCAGCCACCTGCACGATGAGAAAGGTGGTGGACGGCCATAAAGGCGGAAAATGCACGATGAGGACGAGGGGGAGGATGAGGAGGAGGAGGAGGAGGAGGAGGAGAAGGAGGAGAAGAAGGAGGAGAAGGAGAAGGAGGAGGAGGAGGAGGAGGAGGAGGAGGGGAGGAGGTGGATGGGAGGAGGAGGAGGAGGGAGGAGGAGGAGGGGGGGGGAGGACGAGGATGAGGAGGAGTAGGTACAGGAGGCGCAGTATAAGGAGGACGCGGAACATGACGAAGGGAGGAGGAGAAGGAGGAAGAGGAGGAGGAGGAGGAGAGAAGGAGGAGGAGGAGGACGAGGGGGAGAAGGAGGAGGAGGAGGAGGAGGAGCAGCAGCAGGAGGAGCAGGGGGAAGCGGAGGCGCCGATGCTCTGTGCTCTGCTCCGCCGCCTCGCCCTGGAGTTCGGTGATTCTGCAAAACGCGTTCCGGCAAGACTCTTCCGGAACGCGCTGGATGAGGAGGAGCAGCATGATAACGGAGGAGAAGGGGGGGGGCAGATGAGGCCGAGGAGGAGGAGGCGGAGTTGGTGAAGGGGGAGGGGGAGGAACAGGAGGAGGAGGAGGAGGAGGGGGAGGAGGAGGCGGAGCAGCAGAAAGAGGAGGAGGAGGAGGAGGAGGAGGAGGAGGAGGAGCAAAAGGAGGAGGAGGAGGAGGAGGAGGAGGAGGACGAGGAGGACGAGGACGAGGGAACCAGGAAAGAGAGCAACACACTGAAAAAGGAGAGAAAAGATCAGGACGAGGGGGAGAGGTGGAGGAGGCGAAGGAGGGGGGCGAGGACATGTACATGAAGGACGTGAGGTAAAAGACAGCATAATAATGCATCGATAACGGTATCAGCAACGCTCGAACAGCCCAAGCCGAAGGCAGGACATCCTCGGTGGTCGTTTACACTTTTATCGCAGCCGTCCTATGCGCCGCCGTCGTCGAGGATACCTTCTTCTTCATCCCAAGTTGACTTTGCAACCAGGAGAGTCTGCGTTAGAACATAAGCGCGCGAAGCGGGTTCTAGTATATATATATAGAGTATGTATATGTACGTTTACACATATGTATACATACACACACATACATATGTGTATATATAGTAGATACATGCATGTACACACATGTATTTAGACACGTACACAATAATAGTAGCATGTGCTCACGCCGCTAGAAACAAGCGGCTGGGCGAGCTGCGGACAGGAATGATATGGAGGAAGAGGGGGGCGAACAAAAGGGGAGGCAGGGGAGGATGGGAGGATGAGGAGGACGACGAGGAGGCTCGCCTTTGAGAGTTTCCAACGCGCTTGAGGTTGATGGGGGTCGGGCTGGCCCGCCTCCACTCCGCCCCCCACCCTGGTCTTGGGCGGGGTTGGTGTCAGGATGTCGGCCCAGCCCGTTTTGACCTGAGCCATCTCGCTGGTGAATCTCCTGCTCCGCCTCCTCCTCCTCGTTCCTTCTCTCTCCTCTGTCCCCGCTCCTCTTTCCTCCTCGTCGCCGGATGGGGGATGGCCGAGGAGGGCGGCCCGACCCCCCCCCCTGTCCTGCTGCTGCTCCTCCTCTCGTCCTCATCCTCCTCCCCCTCCCCCTCCTCCTACCTCCTCCTCCTCCTCCTCCTCCTCCTCCTCCTCCTCCTCCTCCTCCTCCTCCTCCTCCTCCTCCTCCTCCTCCGGGGTTCCGGGGGGAGGGCCTTGTGGCCGAGAGCACTCGGGCAGCCCATCACCCCCGCCTCACTTGGCTCGAAGGCTGGAACAGGCGGATGAAACTTGGGGCATCCGCGGGGGGCGCGAAGGTCATCGCGCTTCGCGCGTCGCGGCCTGGGCTGGAGAACTGCCTCTCTCCAGGGTGGCCTCGCGAGGGCGCTAAGATGAGCGCGCGTCGCGCGATTCGCGGAGTTAGGTGACGTAGTGAACGGAGAAAGCTGAGCCAGCCAGCATCGCCCCCTTCCTACTGCCTGGCTCAAACTGTGCTCTTTCTTCATTCCCTATTCCCCGGGAGGAGGGGGAGGGCAGTTTTCAGACGAGTTTTCCCCGACCTGCTACAGTAATGCAACTTCTCCTGGTCCCCAGAACACCTCAGAGTTCACCAGAACGCCGACATGCGTCTGCCAACGCCCCCGAAACGCCCGCAATCCACGATCATCGATGCCCGACGTCGGCATTGGCGATGACGACGTCGACGAGATTTGCATTATGTGTACACGCTGTTTTTATATGTGTTGGGGATGTATCTGGCGGGTTCTAGGGGCGTCCTCGTGTTACATCCCCTACAAGCCCGCCCGCCACACTCTCCCCACCACACAGATTCACATTTTTCCTCGGCAGCGCCCCACTTTTCACACACACACACACACCTCCACCAGGAGGACGAAGAGGAGGAGGACGAGGAGGAGGAGGACGAGGAGGAGGAGGGAAGAGGGAGGAGGAAGGAGGATGAGGATGAGGATGAGGATGAGGATGAGGATGATGATGATGATGATGATGATGATGATGATGATGATGATGATGATGATGATGGATGATGATGATGATGATGATGATGATGATGATGATGATGATGATGATGATGATGATGATGATGATGATGATGATGATGATGATGATGATGATGATGATGATGATGATGATCATGAGATGAGGATGAGGATGAGGATGAGGAGAGGAGGAGGAGGAGGAGGAGGAGGAGGAGGAGGAGGAGGAGGAGATAGAAGAGGGAGGATAAGGTGAAGGAACCAGAGGCGGAGAGGGAGGAGGGAGGAAGAGAGAGGGTGAGAAGGCATGGGCAGGAACGAGGGGGGAGGAGGAGGAGGAGGAGGGAGGAGGAGGAGGAGGAGGAGGAGGAGGAGGAGGAGGAGGAGGAGGAGAAGGGGGAGGAGGACGGAGGAGGAGGACGAGGCCGGAGGAGGAGGGATTTAGCGGACGGTCACGACCTCCACCCCGCTCTTGCTGCTCCCCCATCCTGCTACTCCTTCTCTCCGTGCTGTGCCTGCTCGCCATGCTCATCATGCTCAACCTGGTTATCCGCCTTCTCCTCATCGTCCTGCTCGTCCTCCTCCTGCTCATCCTGCCCATGCGTTTTCTCCAGCTCCCGTCTCTAGCCTGCTGCCGCTGCTCTCTCCTCCCGTTACTCCCCGTGCCCTCCTGTTCTTGGTCCTGCCCAGTCCGTCTGCTCCTGTCCTCCGTGCTGTCGATCCTTCTCCTGCTGCTGCTGCTCCCCCCCTCCGTGCGTGGGGTGATCTGATTGGCACGTCATCTTCCTTCTGCCCCTATTGCTCCTCGATCTCCCTCTTTCGCCCTCTTCCGCCTCTTCCACCCCCCTTCCCCTCGTCACCCTCGTCCTTCCGCTCTCTTCCGCATCCTCTCCCGCCTCTCCCTCCTCGTCCTCCACTGCTCCTCCCGGCCCACGTCCGCGTCCCCTCCTCCTCCTGCTCCTCCTCCTCCTCCTCCTCCTCCTGCTCCTCCTCCCTCGTCCTCCTCCCTCGTCCCTCCTCCCTGGTCCCTCGTCCCTGGTGGCCGCTTTCGGCTCAGGAGCCGATCCGCCTCCGCCGGGCCATGGGCCTGGGTGCCGCGACCCCCGCGCAGCCCCGCGCCGCCCGCGCGACGGGGGATCGCCCGCGGCCGTGCTGCGGGTGCCGCTGCCCCGCCTGGCTGGCGCTCGTCACCGCGACGGGCGCCCTCTCGGTGCTGCTCTGCGCGCTGCGGCGGTGGCAGCGGGGGCTCGACGGCGCCAAGCTGGCCCTCTTCGACCAGCTCTTCGTGCTGGGCTTCCACCTCCTCCGGCCCCTGGACGGCACGAGGCTGGGCCCCGGGCGGGGCCTGGAGGTGGAGGAGAGCCTGGAGGGCAAGGTGGCCCTGGTCACTGGCGGCACGCTGGGCATCGGCTACTACGCCGCCGAGCGCTTCCACGCGGCCGGCGCCCACGTGATCGTCTCTGGCCGCAGCGCCTCCAGGTGTAGCGAGGCAGCGGAATTCCTGCGCGAGGCCACTGGCCGCGGCGGGCGTGCGGAAGGACTGCCGCTGGACCTCGGCTGCTTTGATTGCGTGAGGAACTTCTCGGCCGCACTGCGCGGTATGTTTCCCCGGCTCGACTTTATGATCCTCAACGCGGGCACGAGCCACGCTGGCGACCTCGCCGACGACGATTCGGCCTGGCTATCGCCAGAAGGGCACAGCCGGGTCTTCCAAGCGAACCACCTCGGGCATTTTTTGCTGGCGGTGTTGCTGGCGCCGTCATTGGCGCCAGGAGGCTCGGTGGTTGTCGTGGGCAGCTCTGCGATGTGGATGGCGCATCCGAGCCGCTTGATGTTGCCGAAGCGGAACCTGACCCACAATGCGCGGCACGGCGACAGGTGGATGCGGTACGGGCTCGGATCCTACGAGCGGAGCAAGCTGGCCAACCGCTGCTTCGCGCTCTCCCTGCGGCGCAGGGCCCGCGCCCGTCGGGTGCGGGTGCAGGGCATGACGCCGGGCCTCGTGGAGACCCGCCTGACGACGGGCCTGGAGGGCGACTTTGCGCGGGCCTGCGTCTCCCCAGAGCTGGCCGGCCTGCGCCTGTTCGAGTGCGCCTTCGTCTCGCGGGAGTTCGACTTCGTGGCCCCGCACTGGCAGCCCCCCTACGTGTACCGGTGGGACGCCCCCACGACGTCGCCGCGCTGGAGGCGGTTCCGGCCCCGGCGGCCGGGCACGGTTTTCAGGGCGCCGGCGCTCCGGGAGAGCGACGGCTTCCCGCGGAGGTACAACTTCGAGGCGCCGAGGAAGTGGCTCAACCGGCCCCAGCTCCACCAGAGGCTGGACTACAGCCTGCACAGCGCGACCGGCCCAGACTGCCCCGACGAGCTCCAGCGCGAGTTCTGGCGCTGGAGCTTGGAGCAGGTCGGCCTGCCAGCGAGTCTCGACGAAGGGGACATCTTCGCGCACACCTTCACGTGACCGGGTGACCAGAGGAGGTGGAGGCGAGGGTTGCCGAAGAAAGGAGTCTGTGGTTCCTGGCTTGTCTGCTCCTCATCTTCATTCTTCCCGTTTCATCCTGGCACTCCTTCTCCGCCTAATTAGTGTTCGGCCTCATTGCCAGAATAATTAATCTCCTTCCTCCTCGTTCTCATCCTTGCCGTCCTCCTCCTCCCTTTTTCGCCCTCCTCATTTCCCTCTCTTCCTTGCTCATCCACTTACGCAGTCGTCATACTTCTCTCATCATTTTCCACATCCGTCTACTCTTCTTCTCCTCGATTCCATCATCCTTCTTCCTGTCCGTCCCTTTTGTCCCCTTGTACTCCGGCGCCCTCTATCTCCGCATCCTCATCGTTCCGCATCGTCATCCTCATCCTTGTCCTCATCAGCCCTTTTCCGTCTTTCTCCTCCTCCCCTTTCCCATTCCCCCGCCCTCGTCCAGCGTAGCAGGAGGTCGCGAGGCCGCCTGACTGTATTACAGATTGAGGGGGCTTGTCATTTCATACCAGGCGACACTACAGTCGGGGCGCTGAAGAAGGAACCCTTTTCGTTGGGGAGGGGCTCGGTGTTCCTTGATCGTTTCACAGTTTGCCTCGCATTTTCCTTAGGTTGTCCTGAGGATTTCCATGGGAAATGGAAGTTTAACTTATGGGAAAGAGGGGCCTCGTTCCTTATTTTGTGTTCCTTAGGTCAACGCCCCGACGGTACCAGGAGGTCGCGAGGCTGCCTGACTGTATTACAGATGGAGAGGGCTTGTCATTTGACATACCAGGCGACACTGTGAGAGGACGCAGCGCACTAGCAAGTTTGGGGTGTCACCCCCGTCCAGCAGGAGCCGTCTCCCCCTCCCCCACGCTGTCATTTCCCCTCGCCATCTTCCCACCCGCACGTCCTCCCCGCCCCGTCCCTGATCATTAGTTATGTCAGATATCCGACCTATGCCTCCTGGTACCTATCAGGATGTCATTGGGTGATGTTGACACATGTTGTTTCTCCCTCTCTCAGTCTCCATCTATATGTATCGATGTATATCTACCAGATCAATTAACAGCTCTCCGTCTGTCTACGCACGCGTAAGCGTGCACGGATGCTGGCAGCTGCTCGCGCACATATAGTCTCTCTCTCTCTCGTTCGGCGTGACCTCCTGTCTATTTCTTCTCTCTCCTGCGAGCTCTCCCTCTCTCTCTCTCTCTTTCTCTCTCTCTCTCTCTCGCTTTCTCTCACTCTCTCTCTCTGTATATATACACACTCTGTGTATAAGCGTGTACGTATTAGCGAGCATTTGCAAAACGAGCGAACGAGTCGAATTTGGCTTGATGTGGTCAGGTTGAGGGGCAACAGAATTTGTGTTCAGTACTCTCTCCGATCCTGACGCTGTCTACACATGTAGAATCAATTCCCCATGCAATACTGTACATATGCGTGCGTGTTTGCATCGAAGATGTCTACGGCGAGCCACTGCCGCCCCCTACTTTTCGGAAACGCCTATGTCGTGAAATGTCGAGCGAACGTGTGGCCACGCTGGCGGACTGCATGTTCCAGCAGCCGTTGGGGCCACCAACGGGCGGGACATTGTCCTACGAAGAATCCTCACAGTATAGCTCGCGCCATTGATAAAACTGTAGCGCGGCATGGGGCGTCGAGCATTTTGTGCCAAGCAGTAATGCCTGACTTGATGAATGAAATTGCCATGGATTGGAGCTGTCTCTGGAAGTGCGTCGCAGATGGGCAGTCGACGAAATGCTGCGGAACCTCATTGAAGCGCGCACACACACTCCGTACGTTTCAAAGATCGATGTATACACCATGGGATGCATGCCCAGTTAGACTAGATTACGGAGCGTCTTTGTGTGCATACGTCTTCCTCCACCAAAGCCGTGGCTTTCAAGGTTGCCCGTCATGGGTGGGAACGGGGCAAAGAGCAGAGGGGAAGCCTGCCATGGGTGATTCTTCCTAACAGGCCTACAACACCAGTCGCGCCTCTTGCGGGCAGAGGTGAGACTGAAAGCACAAAGGGCCCACGATTCGGAACCACATATTGCAGAAGCTTGAATTCCGTTGCGTGAATCGATTGTGTTCTAAGTGAAGTTTGTTTGACCAGAACAGCGTGTGCAGAGCCGCGCGAAGTGAAGTCCCCAACGGTACGGTATGTTTACGGCTTTGGATCAAAGAGCACGCCGAAAATCGGAAAGTCTTCATGCGGCCGGCACTTGTCAAGTATGTGCACAAATTCGCTGGTCGCCTCAATGAATTGGTTCGTCGTGCCCTGTCGTGAAACGTACTTGGCAATGGTGGCAAGCAACGGTTCTAGAAGAATCGGTTGTCACGGATTCAAGCTGTTCCTGCAATTGAGGCCGTCAGCGAAAACGCATTCGGTGAAATCAGCCGAGGACACGGCAAGCCCTGCATCATCATACAAGACATGTCATTGCTATGGTGTGAAGTTGGAGGCTTGGCGAATGCTGAAATTAACCTGTCTTGCCGGGAGCCATGACTTATGACTGAATGATTTTCAGAAGGGGCTCGCACATACCAGATGCACGCAACATCAGGGAGGGGCCCTCGCTAGATTGAGGCAGTCGTCGGGTGTATTTGTCTTTGCGATAGTCTTAGAGGGCCTCAAGGGGCCGGCTCTTGCCACATTGAGGTTCTCTTTGACCGTCTTAGGGAGCTCGTGTGCCACATGGCAGCACTTTCGGAGGCCGTCTTGAGGGCCTCTCTGGGCCGTTTTGGGAACCTCTTGGCGCTCTGCCGAGCCGTCTTGAAGCTGTCCGCGGCACCCATTGGGCCGTCGTGGCGCCTTCTTGGTGCCCTTCTGAGCCGTGGGGCGATCCTGGGGGCCTCTTGGGCCGTTTCGGAAGCACGGAAACGCAAGAATACGAAAATCCGTGGAAAACGCAATTACATGAAATCTCTCATGTTTGCCCAATCGAGCCCCTCCTGGGGGTCCTCTTGGAACCCTCTTGGGGCGTCCTGGGGGCTCCTCGAGCCGTCTTGCGGCCGACGAGGGCGGTCGTGGGCAAGATTCGACCCTCGCGGAAACATCTTCTAGGCCACTTAGGTCATCTTGGACGGATTTGGTGACGGCCAGAGCCCTCTTGAACGGACCTTCTTGGAGTCATCTTGGATGTAAGAGCCAACTGGCTGTACATTGTGCAGTTTCTGGGTGGCCCACTGGCGGGGCCGAGGGCCACCGGGAATCTGTTCGGAAGGGCCAGAAAGAGTTCGAAAGTTCGGTGCGCCAAGCGGCCTTGTGGCACGCACTGGGTGCGGCGGATCTAGTGGCTTTCGGCCCATCCCTCCACCGTGCATGGATTGCCGACAAGAGTAGAGGCATCTTGGGGTCTCAGAGGGAGCCTTTTGTGGCGGGAAGCCGTGATGGGGCCTCCTCGAGGTCTCTTTGGGCTTTTTGGGGGCGCCTTGGGGTCTTTTGGGGCATACTGGATCCTGGTAGCGGTGTCGGGGGCCATCTTGTGGAGCGGAAGAGTTCGCAGTGCCAGTTCGGGTTTCTTTGTGGGGGCCCTCTTAGTGGAGGGTTGGAGGGTTTTTTTTCTGAAGGGCTTAGGCGACCCGTCCTCCTCCTCCTCCCTCCTCCTCCTCCTTCTTCTCCTTCCTCCTTCCTCCTCCCTCTCCTCCTCCTCCTCCTCCTCCTCCTCCTCCTCCTCCTCCTCCTCCTCCCCCTCCCCCTCCCCCTCCTCCACCTCCTTCTCCTCCTCCTAGCCTTTTCCGAGGCCCGGACCTTTGCTATCGCGAAGTGTTCGGCAAGGCCGTGCGATAGCGAGCCATTCCCCCAGGCACGGAACCATTTCCCGTCTTCAGGTGCCGCCATGGTTGGTCGCGGTGGTGCTCCTTCCGACGGGCGTGTCAACCGCTGGGATCGCTCTAGTCGCCCCAAATCTGTGCCTCCCCTTCAACCTGGATTTCAACCTGGTGCGGGTGGAGCAGGAATAGGTTCTGGTAAAGGAGGTGGTGGCCAGCAACAATTGGTCCAAGGTCGATGGGTTTGCTGCCAGTGCGGGTGTCAGAAGAACTTGGCGTCGTGGACATGGTGCAAGCACTGTAAGTCGCCATGGCCACCGACATGTGAATGGACATGTTCTCCCACCAAGGCTGGTACGCCCACCAAGGAAAAGTATGTTATTGCTTTGAACGGGTTGTCTCTTGATGGAATTGATCAACTTACTGTGCTCCTCGAGAAAGGGGGGAGATGCCGCAGGAGGTGCTAGGTATCGAGCCGTGGCACAGGATCGGCGCTTGCCTTCCCCCACGCAGTCCCTGCAGTTCCCAGTCAACCCTGCGCGCAGCAAGCTCAGGCAGGCGGAGAAGCGGCTTCAGGCAGCTCTCATCAAGTACGAGGAACAGGAACGCGTTCCCCGTCGTCAACGTGCAGAGGTCGCCTCCTGAACAGAGCTCCAGACGGTGGAAGTCACACACACACACACATCTCTCTTTGGCAAGCTTGCTCGTGAGCACACTTCTGATTGTGCAGTTCTCAGTTATGGACATCTTGGACGGGAAGGTCGACGACGCGCTCGCCATCGACGTGGGTTTCCTCAATGTCGACGAGACGGAGTACGAAGTCTCACAACAAGATCGCGAGGAGCTCGACCGTCCTTCCAAGCAGCTGGCCGGCGGAGTCAAGCACCCCTGCGCCACGCTGTTCAAGCAGGCCAGTGACCAAGCAAAGAAGGTAAGTGAAGATCACGAGAACATTTGCGACACCTCGCGGCCAGGAGACGTCGCCAGGGCGACGTTCCTGCAGCAGCCCAACCAGCAGCACCTGCAGGAGAGGCCGACGGCGCAACTGGTGCTGGCGACGGCGTTGCAGCAGCAGCAGCAGCAGCAGCATCAGCAGCAGCAGCAGCCTCGGCGGCGCCCAGCGGTGGAGCAGTTTCGGCGGGAGGAGCTGCGTCATCAGCGACGGCGCCTGGGGCCCAGAGCCAGCCTCCAGGGCCTGTGCGTGAGGCTTCCACTGCGGAGCCCAAGGCTCGTGCCGATGCTGCGCTCGCAGCTACAGCAGATCC